TTCCTCACTCGGGAAATTAAGGGAACACTACCTCAACCTACATGCTCCACTCACAAAGCTTCAACATACAAGCTCAACAAAAGAAAATTCAAAGAACTTAGTGAAGAAGGCTTTGGTGTATTTAACAAAATACGTTGAAATGAAGGAAAGCTTATTTATTGATATCCCCGATAAGTTACAAATATGTACATATACTTGAGTCAAAATAAACAAACAAGAGGGCGCCTTCACAAAGGTTGCTTAGGAGAAGTCTCAGCAGTCGGTAGAGCCCCAGAAAGAGAAGGCACCGGAGGGGGGATCCTTCGGAGCCTCAGTACTGGACAAAACCCTAGAAGGAGGAGGCATCAGAGGTTGATCATTTGGAGCTTCATTACGCGGTACAGCCCCCAGAAGACGAAGGCAATAAATGCCTTTGGAACAAACCCACAAATCTCTGATGATCAAGTAAAACCTGACCATCAGATTCCTTCATCTGGTCAAGCTTCCTCTTCATGTTTGTAGCATAGTCATGTGCGAGCCGGTGCAACTGTTTATTCTCATGCTTGAGCCCTCTAATCTCCTGTTTGAGACTCATCACTTCAGCCGCCAATGATTCAACTTGGCGGGTTCGAGCAAATAGGCGTTGGGCCATATTAGACACAGAACCTGCACACTGAACACTGAGAGCCAGAGAATCCTTAACAGCCAACTCATCAGACCGTTTGGAAAGTAGTCTGTTATCTTTGGGAGTGAGAAGGTTCCTGGCCACTACCGCAGCGGTCATATCATTCTTCATCACGGAATCCCCAACGGTAAGAGGACCAGTAGGGGAGACGAAGGATGGGCGCCATATGTTGTCTCGAGAAGGCGGGGCTGCCTCTTCAACAAGGTTCAAGTCAAAACGACGGTCGGAGGGGCCAGACATTTTCAAAGGTGTTGAAGAGAGAATAGGTCGGACAAATCAAGATCTTAGAAGTGCAAGAATGGAGCTTCTACTGGTGGATATTCAAGTGTGCTTTGGAACTTAATGTCAGCCCCTATAAAAATCTGTACTCGACGAAGCTTCAGAAATCGAAGAGGCGCCTGCTCAGAAATCGAAGAGGCGTTTGCTTTCTCAAAAGCTGGGCTGCTCAGAGACCACGAGGGTCGATCCCAGAAATCGAAGAGGCGTTTGCTTTCTCAAAAGCTGGGCTGCTCAAAGACCATGAAGGCCGATCTCAGAAATCGAAGAGGCTTGCTTTCTCAAAAGCTGGGCTGCTAAGAGACCACGAAGGCCGATCTCAGAAATCGAAGAGGCACCTACTTTTCCAGCCTTGTCAGCACCTGTCACACGCACACTCAGCTTTGCGGAAATTATGGGCATTCTGTCGAAGATTTTTGGCGAAGTAGAAAGCACATGAATCGTACTGTTCAATCACCCACTTCCCATACGCAACAGTAACTCATGGGTACCACAGATAACTTTGCCAAAGTTCTCGGACAAAGTTGAGACACGTGAAGCTTGCAGCTCCTGCTACATCGCTTTGACCAAGAAGGGTAAAAGAATTGCAAAGAAACAACACTAACAAAGTTTAGACACATAAATTTTGAAGGTCTAGCTACCATATTATTACCCACAAGGGTAAAGGAACAGTACCACTGCTGGATAATTGGAAAGTCCCGGTGTGTCAACCTCTGTGCTTCGTGGCAAGGTAGACTAGCAAACATGCCAACCTTTACTCACATTCAAGAAAACACTCCCAACAGGATTGCTTGCTCCAAAATCGAAGAGGCACCGCCCTCCGAATCTCGAGAGCCAGACTCCCAACATGATTACTTTCTCAAAAATCGAAGAGAGGGTAAAGGAACAGTACCACTGCTGGATAATTGGAAAGTCCCTGTGTGTCAACCTCTGTGCTTCGTGGCAAGGTAGACTAGCAAACATGCCCAACCTTTACTCACATTCGAGAAAACACTCCCAACAAGATTGCTTGCTCCAAAATCGAAGAGGCACCGCCCTCCGAATCTCGAGAGCCAGACTCCCAACATGATTACTTTCTCAAAAATCGAAGAGACACCGCTCTCCGAATCTCGAGAGCCAGACCCCCAGCAGGATCGCTTTCTCAAAAATCGAAGAGGCATCGTTCTCCGAATCTCGAGAGCCAGATCCCCGACAGGATTGCTTGTTCGAAAACCGAAGAGGCACCACTTTCCCAACTTCAAGAGCTGGATCTCCTTGGATAAAGTTTATCTGTAATCTTCACACGCAACATCAGCTTTCCAGATACCACAGACCACTTTTTCAAAGTGCTCTGACAGAGTTAAAACATGTGAAGCTGGCAGCTCCCACTACCGTGTTATGACCAAGCAGGGTAAAAGAATAGCATTATTACTTGATGTTAGGGAGACTCCTATATATGTCGACCTCCATCCCTAACGGACAGGCAGACCTGCAAAAATGCTCAACCCTTTCTCTTATCTGAGAGGGCACTCCCAACGAAGCCTTTCGAAATATTCAGTTTTCTTTCCCCCCGATAATACCTCTGTAAACAAGCTATACTAGAGCAAGAATATCTCATATCATCAGGGTTAAAAGCAAGAGTATCCCATATCATGCTTTTTCCCTGTCTTTTCCTTTGGCCTTGTTCTTACCTGCAAGACAAGGAGAACGAGAGCAATCAGTCAGCACTTGGAATCAAGCTTCCAGCCAGGAACTGACTTCCTAGAACCCCTTACCTGATTACTTACCTGGCTTTGCTCTCGAGTACTCATCTTCAACATCTTATGCTTCCAGGGAAGATACCGCATCTGCCTGAGGAACATATAGGGCAAGTGAGAAGGATACAAGGAAGCATGTGGAGACAAGCGTAACAGCACACGTGCCGATACATCCACTACTCTGTTAAAAGCAAAAGTATCCCATATCAGCAGGGTCGAACGTACTCTAGATTTGATGGACTTGTTTTGACCCTCAAATTCTTCAGTCGGCCTTATACTCTGGAGGAAACCAGGAAACCCTGCAGCCCGGTTCAAGAATAAGCCTGTGGAAAGTTACTTCTTCAAAAGCAAAAGTATCCCATATCATATCTTCTCATTTTTCTTCTCTTTATCCTTCATGCTGCCTGCAAGATAGGGAGAATGTGAACAATCAGCTGGAGCTTTGATTGCTTACCTTGTCTGTCACCTCTTTCAGCAGATCCCCTAGCCCGGCGACTTGGGGGACTCCTACTACATGGTTTGTATCGCGCTTGACCAAGCCTGAAACTACAAGTAAGCTTCAAGTGAAATTGATACATTACCTTGTGCATCTCCACCAGTTACAGATACCACCCCTGGATGGAGGAAGAGTACTTCCAGAGAAGATGCCACATCTACCTATGAGACAGATAAGGCAAGTCAAGACGATACCACACTCCGGTACTTAGAAGTTTCGTGGTTACGAGATCATTCTCCCACAATATTTCCTAATGTCATTTGTACTAAATCATTCACTTGTACTCACTAAAGGAGAGCTTGAACCTATGTACTTGTGTAAACCCTTCACAATTAATGAGAACTCCTCTATTCTGTGGACGTAGCCAATCTGGGTGAACCACGTACATCTTGTGTTTGCTTTCCTAATTCTATCCATTTATATACTTATCCACACTAATGACCGGATCAATCTAGCGAATATCACAAAAAGTGACTGTTTTCGCTACCTAGGATCTATCTTGCAAGAGAACGGAGAATTAGATGGAGATCTCAACCATAGAATACAAGCTGGATGGATGAAGTGTAAGAGTGCATCCGGTGTGTTATGTGACCGTCGTAGGCCACTGAAGCTCAAGGGAAAATTTTATAGGACGGCAATAAGGCCAGCGATGTTGTATGGCACATAATGTTGGGCGGTGAAGCATCAACACGTACACAAAATGGGTGTAGCGGAGATGAGGATGCTACGTGGGATGTATGGGCACACGATAAAGGATAAGATTGGGAATGAGGATATCCGAGGTAAAGTAGGAGTAGCCAAAATTGAAAGAAAGATGAGAGAAAATCGGTTCCGGTGGTTTGGACATGTACAAAGAAGGCCTACTGACGCTCCGTTTCGAAAATGTGACTACGGGACAGAGGTTCAGGGCCGAAGGGGTAGAGGAAGACCTAGGAAAACTTTGGAAGAGACCCTAAGAAAAGACTTGAGTACTTAGATCTAACAGAGGACATGACACAAAACCGAGCGCAATGGCGTTCTAGGATTCATATAGCCGACCCCACTTAGTGGGAAAAGGCTTTGTTGTTGTTGTTGTTTTTATCTTTCTAATTGTATAATGATATGTAGTGTAATGCCGTGTGTTCGGTCTGAAAATATCTCCTGCACCAGTGCCACAAAAGTTATTATCGTACCAAAGATCTTCTCATTTGTTGTAAGGTCGACGATATATGTGCAGTAGAATAAAGTAAATAAGATACAATATTTACGAGATTCGGCAAATGTGCCTACGTTCTCGGGGCAGTAGTAATACTTTCTTTCATTATCTAAAATAATAAGAGTACAAAATAATTCTCACTATTTTCTCTTTTCTTTTCAGCCTAGTTCATTGGTAATTTATTCTGCATTTCTCTTCTTTCCTCTTCTCTTCCTTTTCTTCATAACTCCTCTTTCTTCCTTTTTCTTTCCTCTGTATGTTTTTCTCTCATCTCTTTTTTCTTCTTCGCACTTCTTCCTTCCTCTGTATACTCTCATCTTATAGGCAAAATATTACCATAGCAACACCATTCACTTTACAAGCTTTTCAAATGAATAGTGAAATACTGTGTATGAATAGTAACACATCCGTTTTTCTTCATATAAATAATAATCCTTTTGATTTTTTTTAGATGAATAATAATAAACTATTGATGTAGGGCATTCACATATTATATAACAAATCCCCATATTCATCAAATCCAATGGTTAATTAAACAACGCCACGTGTACGGTCGTACGAAATAATTCTCGACGATTCCAGACGTCCCCTCTCTTTCTTTTCGGTGACGAAATAATAATAATAATAATATAAATTAAATTCGAAATTTGCGCTTCGTTCGTTGGCTTCACTCTCGCTGAGACTCGCTTCACGGGAAGCTGCGAGAAAGCTCTCCACAGAGTCCGCGTCTTTTCTCAATTCCCACGCAAAGCCAAATCTCCTTCCTCCTTACCTTCCTCCTCCCACCATTTCAAAGCAACCTCCTTTTCCTCCTCCTCTGCAAACCCGGATCCCACTTCCACAACGCTCCCACAGCAATCGCAACCTTTTCTTCCAGCTCCTTCAATGGCGTCGGCGACCTCGCTCTCTTCTGGGGTCGCTCTTGTTCATCTTCCCCAATTTCCGAAATGCTGCGATAAAGCTTCCGTCTTTGCCCGCCCCCACCACTCCCTCAGCTTCAATTCCCGTGCCGACTCCTTTCAGGCGTTCATTTCACGGCAGTTGACTCCGAACGGTTCGTTCCGAACCGGGTTGTGGAGAACTAATCGGAATTCGAGGCCTTTCGTCGTGCGCTGTGAAGCTTCAACTGGAAGGGGAAGGGTATGGTTTATTATTTATGTTGTTTTGGCTTAAACGACGTGTTGGGTTTTTTTATTTTTGTGTAGAAAGTGTGGACGTCACGGGGTTTTGGTATTTATGGAGTGGCAGATTACACAGCAGGATTTTACAGAAATGGCGTGGCAAGCAATTGTTTCGTCGCCGGAAGTGGCGAAAGAGAACAAGCATCAGATAGTGGAGACTGAACATCTGTTGAAGGCACTCTTGGAGCAGAAGAATGGTCTTGCTCGTCGGATTTTTTCCAAGGTTGGGGTGGACAATGCCCGGCTTCTCGAGGCCACTGATAAGTATATTCAGCGCCAACCAAAGGTATTTTTCGGATTTCGCTTTAATGATTCAGCACACGAATTTGGTTTTGTTTATGAACTTTGGCGTTGCTTTGGGATTTTAAGAGAGTAAATTAACTGGAGTAGATTAATGACCGAGGATAGCTGTGAGCCCTGCAAACTTAGATTATGATCTGTCTGAGTATGCTGTTTCTAGATTGTTTTGATTAAAATTACGGCTTTGGGAGGCCATTAAAGCGTAAGATGGTGTTGGAATGAGGTTTCCATCGTAGTTTTCAGACGGTGTATGGGATACTAGAAACACGTATTCAATTGACTGATAGGATGACATAGTACATACATTTGCTACTTTGGTGTTTTTATGCTGAACCTGTGATTGACTTATCTCCGTTTCTGTCTAATTACAATAGGTTTTTGGTGAATCTGCGGGCTCAATGTTGGGACGTGATTTGGAAGCCTTGATTCAGCGAGCCAGGGATTACAAGAAAGAGTATGGGGACTCATTTGTGTCTGTCGAGCATTTGGTACTTGGTTTTTCTCAAGATCAACGCTTTGGGAAGCAATTATTTCGGGATTTTCAAATATCCAAGGAAGCTTTGAAATCTGCTATAGAATCCATAAGGGGGCGCCAATCAGTTATTGACCAAGGTTGTACTGTATTTCATTACTTTTTCGTTGCAGTCTTCTCATGGTGCTTGATAGCCACTTCTGCGTTCTGTTTGTTATGCTATCCTTTAATATCTTGTTGTACGGGATTGTGAATCTCCATTTGTGTTGCAGATCCTGAAGGGAAATATGAAGCACTTGAAAAGTACGGAAAAGATTTAACAGCTATGGCAAAAGTAGGAAAGCTTGACCCAGTAATAGGAAGAGATGATGAAATTCGTAGGTGCATCCAGATTCTCTCCAGAAGAACAAAGAACAACCCGGTGCTGATTGGTGAACCAGGTGTCGGAAAAACTGCAATTTCTGAAGGGTGAGTACCTAGTTGTTTGCCTGTGTATATGTGCATACAGATATATGAAAGCATTATTGGCTTCCCGCATAAAAAGCTATCCAGTTCTGGCATGTCTTACGTTATCTGTAATCTTAGTTATTCAACAGCTTGCTCAAACCTTAATCTGTGTTGACCTTGTTTGGAGGCCTTTTAGCGACTTAGTCTCTTTTGTGTACATCAATCTAACTCTAGCTCTTCAACAGGCTTGCTCAAAGAATCGTGCAAGGGGATGTCCCACAAGCTCTGATGAATCGTAAGGTGTGTGCTCTATATTGAGATTGATTCGTCCTACCAGTAATATGTGCTTTCCCCTCACTGCCTTGTGCATATGCTCTGCTATTGATAAATTAGTTATGGGGAAAGTAGTAGCACAGTTCTGATAAATTGGTTGCAAAATCCGGATATTTGCATGACCAATTCCTTTACAGTTAATATCCCTTGACATGGGCGCACTAATTGCTGGGGCAAAATATCGGGGAGAATTTGAGGACAGGCTGAAGGCAGTACTCAGGGAAGTAACAGAATCAGAGGGCCAGATAATCCTTTTTATCGATGAGATCCACACAGTTGTTGGGGCAGGTATTAAGGTTTCTAATCTAAAGTTATTTTCATATATTTTGGTGGTATAAGCATTTAATGATCAATCTTTTAATACCTTTTTTCTTCTGTTCCTGTTGTCCTCTGTTATTGAGTTTGTTTGGTCCATTGAATTTAATCCATTAACGTTTTCGAAATCTAGTAATAGTTCCATTAAGGGGGTTTGGTTCGTTGAAAAATAATGATATTAGCTTTAGGGAGATGATGATGTATTGTTATGATCAGGTGCTACAAACGGTGCAATGGATGCTGGTAATCTCTTAAAACCCATGCTTGGTCGAGGAGAGTTGCGGTGTATAGGTGCAACAACACTGGATGAGTATCGTAAATATATTGAGAAAGATCCGGCATTGGAGCGTCGGTTCCAGCAAGTTTAT